TATGATTTTCACTCGTATTATTCTTAATAAGATATCACACTCAGGAATTTACTATTTCCATTAGCCAATCAAGGCACAGCGATAATATCATATTGATTGTAGAATGACACCTGTCATGAAGTTATTATAAATAGAGCTCATGTAATTAGTTTTAGTCACTAGTGAAGAGAAAGTAGAATAAAGATCCCGAGTAGCTCTACCGAGAGCTGTCCATCCCATAACACCGCCCACAACACCGAAACAGCGACGCGCACTCATTAAACCGATGCCGCCAATTACGCTAATCTAGGTAATCAGGCTATATTGTTACTCACTTGACTCTGAAGATGACTTCCGTTCAGGTTGTCGAAACGTCAGTCACATCAAACAGTCCTTCTCAGGACTACATCCACCCGGATGATCATAATACTTCGATTAAGATTAAGCAAGATTAAGCAAGGGACGCCAGAACAATATTAACATTATCTGCAAATGACTTCTGAACAAAATAACGGAAAAAGGCAGTCTATTTCGAAGGAAAGACAAGATATCTTCGGATCATAGTCTAAGTACAGAGGAAGATAGAATGTACTACTGTCAAACACTCACATTGCTAAAACAAATACCTCTAAAATGAGTTAAGCGATAAAAACTCCATCTATAAATAAGTTGTCTATAGAAAATCAATTTATTGAGGACATTTTACATTTTAGAACTGATATTATTTGTTAGCAAATACCAACATGTGAAGAACGCGCGCGCTCATTGGTTAATTGGAGGTGAATATTGTACGATATTCACCTCTGAATCTCGGAATATTGAGTCGGCAACAGAATGGCATCTGCCGGCAATCGTTTTGCTACAATTTCCGATGAAGAAATTGAAAAAATGAGAGTAAATGCCATCCCTATCAATACTAAAAAGTCAACGAAGTATAGCCTAAAAGTTTTGCTAAAAGTTTTGCGTGAATTTGTCACGCAAACTGCAAGTTTCTGTTTGTTTGTTTTTATTGAATTATTGTATATAAAAATAAGTTACTCTGTACACAAGTTGGTATATGCTAAAACAATTATTCGCCTCAGGCTCAGTGAATATGGAGAAGACTCGCGTCTCGGTAAATATTCCCCGATATTTACTTCGCCTTCGGCGAATAATTGCTAAATATATCCCACTGCTTGCGGTGCCTGTACCTACCCTACCAGTCTCACTATACCAGTCCCTTCCTATTGAGTCAGAATAGTAGGCCTGGTTACAAGCACAAAATGGCGGAAGAAGTTTCGCAAGAAGTTGATTCGATTTCAATGAACGGCTGTGAAAAATCTGCAGTTTATGAGTCATTTTTGCTCGATAAATTCCCAACTATAGATAGTGATCTTCTAATATACGTTAAAGGTAAGATTTTCCTTCTTGAAATTTAGATCTTTTGACTAAGTTTTGAAAAGACCGGAACTGAAAATGTCCCGTGTTTTGCCACGTAAGAAATAATTTCAGCTTATTATTGTTACCTTTAACCTTCGTTACTAAAGATTGTTGTCATGATATTATTGAAATGATTTGCGAACTCTTGATAAAATCGATGATTAAAAATATCTCTTTTTCTTTATTAATGTCACCAATGAATGTTAATGAAAGATCTAAATAGTTGAACTTAATTATTGTGATAGCTGGTACATTTTTTATTTGTTTGGGGAGGGGGGCTTGGGGCTTCAGAAGGGAGAGTTACTAATACAATTAATACTTTTGTGGAAGCACAAACCTTTTTATTTTTACGAAAGCTGTTTCTTACTTTGACTTAATTAATGGTTTTCAAAGCCGCCATTTTGGATGAATTTAAAAAGAGATTCATCATATATTATTTAGTCTCTTTCAGTAATATCATCCAACATGTCCGCCGTGTCTTTTGTTATTTTATTTTCTTGGGAATGATTGAGAATAAGCAATAGGAGGGCCATAAATTTTGTTCTGCATGCCAAAAGGAGGAGGGCTACAAACATATTTTACTATTCTTCGTTTGCAACCATGAGTATTTTGCTGGTGATAAATTATTAATTGGTGCCAATCAAAAAACAATCCATATTATCATGTAGAGCTACTTATAATACAGCTCTGAGCAAAATGCAAAAATTTGAAGCATTAGAGAATTTCTAAAACGAGCTATGAGCGAACGAAGTTACCCATATACATGTATAAGTGTAAATATATGGCGAAAACTCACTGGATGATATCTATCTAAAAAAATAATTTAATGACAAAAATTTAGCAAATTCACTTCAAACATGTATAAATCTGATTTATCAACTAGTACGACACTAAAATTGTTTGAATTGGCAAAAATACCTCGTTTTCTTTGGCTTTTCAGACACGTAATTAGTGTATGGTGAGGATTACCAATTAGAAAATAAGATTTGCACAACTCGGAAACAAAACGATGAAAGGATCTGAAATTTCCTACACTTAGTCACATCATAGTTCTCTAAAAAATATCAAAGAATCAAGTTTATATCATTCATAATTAATGAGCTCAATTTGATATAATTTTAAGTTGTTATTTTCTTGATCTATTATGTCATGGATAAAAAAGAATACAGTTTACTGTGAATACGTCAGCTTTCCCCTACCCATAATAAAAAATGCACCTTCTCTTAGTGATACAGACTTCTTCACACTCAAAAATAGTACTATTTTATCACAGAGACCTCACTATAACTAATAAATGTACAATTTGAATTTAACAAAAAGTCTTTTAAGGGTATCCATATTCTTTGTGTATGTTGGTTGTGGCAGGGGGCACTGAAAATTGCTCTCTYACAGAAATTGGAAAAAGCAAGAGTACTTTTTAGATTAATTTTCAATAATTAGCAAGCTGCTATAATAAAGGTTCTTATAATTTGATTAACCTATAATGAACAGTTGATATAGTAAAAAATCTATCTCCTTAGGAGATGACAATGACAATTTAATCTGAAAAAGAAGTCAATATTCAAAGGTGTAATACAGATATTAGTAAAACTATAAAGTTTGATTAAGGTAAACGTAAAATATCAAAGATATGATTTTTTTGATAAAATAAACATTGATTTTACAAAGAAATGTACTAGGTGAAAATTTTGCAAAACCGAGGTGTCATTTTTTCTCTAAAAAATCACAGATTTCCAGGCTACCAAGGGAAAAAAGCATTGCTAATATGTGCTTTATAACAGTAGCACAATTATAATAATAATAATTCTTATATTTTTATTTATTCCAATGGCGGGCATGTTTTTATTCTTTGTTGGTTAGCTTTTGCATGCTTCAGGACACCTCAGTCTTGAAGTAACATCATTACTAAATCACTATTTCAGATACTGTATGTTAGGTATGTTCAGAAATTTAAAACCCTAAAATGACTCTTATCATACACTGAGGTTTTCTCATAACAAGATCTTTAAAATGTATGTTTTAAAAAATAATGTTTTATTTTTAAGTTAAATGAATAGTTGCATTTATTTTAGATGTACTACAACATGGAGAAGACTTTGAGAATGGGAATGATATTTATGATGCAGTTGGAGGGATCTTGCATGAAGTGACCAGCAACAATGCTGATGATGATGAAATTAAAGCAATATGTGATCAGTTAATGGGAATTATGAAAAGGTTAGAAAAAACTAAATCTTCAATACTGTATGTGCACTTAAATCCAGAAATTAGCCATAATGGTATGCACATCTGCACATCTCTCTTCAGGTAGGGGGGGGGGGGGTGCTGTAGGACTTTGCAAACATAAAGGGGCAAGTGTCTTGTTCTAAGTTTCTTGGGAAGCTTAGCAAGCTTAGCATTCATTAAATTCTTTACCATTCCAATAAATAATGAATGAACGAAACAAACGAACGTTCTAGTCTGCCCCTCACTTGGACATACAATGCAATATAGGCCACACATGTGCCCAGGTCATTCCATTAACAAAAGGGATATTGTAGGCATATTACATCCAAACATATAAATTGTCCTAGATTTGCAGTTAGGATTCTTTATATTAAATGTTTTTTTCCTCTGACTTAAAGTGGCTTGACTTTTTTTGCATGTTCCTTTTCTGCTCACCTTGCAACGAATGTTTGATCAGCTATGTAGCTTCAGTTCCAAAACTTCCTTTGGCTCAATTAAAATTAAATATTACTGCACAATGAACAACAGAAGGGCATATTTCTTTATGTCAATTAATATAAAAATAGAAAACTTATCACTGACAGCTTTTATTTAATGACACTCTCACAGCAGCATTCATGCATGGCTCCCACATTTACTGCCATTAAAGTAGGGGTATGGTTGTGAGTATGGTATGTTGCTGAATAAATGTCATCATTATTTGTCATCATTACTTTTCTCTAAACAGATCGTCATCAACAGAAAAATTTGAGCATAAAAAACTTGACGCTCCTGTGATACTTGAAAATACATCCTTATGTGCAGGTACGAATAACTATAAGACATGTATTATACATATAATTTATCAAGGTATTAACTTTTTTGAAATTCCCTGTTGTACATAGACAGTATACATTTGAAAACACTCTTGATACCATTTTTTAATGCAATAATAATTGTCAATGAGTTTCAGAAATAAAGCAAGCATTTTTTTAAAAAAGGACAACTACCAGAAAGAGCAAGCAGAATATGTATTTTTGTAAAGTTTTATTTCTAGACAGAATTCCAGTGAAGTCATTTGGAATGAAAATTACAGAGATTTTTATGTTGAGTCACTTCACACTTATAGCACTTAATAGCCAGTGGATAACAAACCTGTGACCCTCATTCTATCACAGGGCTGTCAACTCTCCCGGATAAACCGGGAGTCTCCAGATTTTGGACCATGTCTCCCGGTCTCCAGATTAGAGTCTCAAATCTCCCAGATAATCCCCGAAGCTGACTATTTCTTGTCTTGTGAGACTAGACTTTCACAACCATAAAATTCCAATTATTTCATATTGTTTGTGTTATTTTGCATCGCTAACAAAATCAAAACGTTCCTCATAAACYGTTCTTGCAAGCAGGCCATTGTAATATAAGCGATAATCTGATTGGTCAGAAATAAACCAATCACATCAAATGTTACAAAGCGAAAGACGTTTTTTCGTGCGCTTTTTGACGTGCTGTGACGTCATGTCCCTTCCCTATCAATTCTCCAGATTTGAATATCTCAGGGGTTGATAGCCCTGCTATCATTAAATTGGAATTTAAAATTGTGATTCTTTGGAGGAAGGAAAACCTGAGAACGTAACCAGTGGAGAAAAACCCTCAAAGCACAGGAGCTACCAACTAAAAACTCTACTCACAATTAATGACACCAAGCCAGGTGGGAATCAAACCCAGGTCACATTAACTTAGAAAGGATTTTGTATTTCTATGTCAAACTTTCTAACTTTGTTGGTATCGTTCTAATCTATAAATTATGATATAATGCTTATAATAAAAATAATTGAATTCAAAAAATTATGATAATGAACTATAAATTATGCAACCAGAGATTATGAAACACTAGCTTACTACATAATAACCTTCACCTGTGTGGCATTCCGGCATTTCACTGACTGTTTTTATACTTCAATTAACTGCTTGAAATTTAACTGCATGCATATCAATATGGAATTCCTAATACTGAAGAAATAGACAAATAAATGCTTGAACATGCTGTACATGTGCAGATAAAGAGTGACAAACAAATGC